CACATAAAAACTAACATTTCAGGATTTAGTGTCAAAATATAAAAAAAAATTATGAATGTCTTTGCGAGTGAGCAAACTGAACATCATGTTTGGGAGAAGTTGATCCACAACAAAACACAAAGCATGCAGCTAAAGTTTAATTAACAATTAATTCATTCAACTATTTAAACATAAATTCAAATATAAAGAGATAATATACACTTAAAGAACACTCAGTCTCATCTTTAAATAATCAGATGTCAAGTTGTTTTAATATAAAATCATTTAAATGCTTTAATCAAACCCCATAACGATTTTGTAAAAGCTGTTTTTGAACTTCATGTTTTCGCCCTACGATCCTCATCTCAGCATTTTTACTATTTTGTTTGCACAAAAATCAATTACATCGWCCAGTAAAATGCACAACATTGGTTTGTTTGATTTTGTCGGCTTCACCTCATCAGGATGACCTTTCACATCAAAGTAGACGATTAGCTGCAGTTTGATGCATTCCTTCACGGCCTCCTCCAGGGTTGGGATCTTTTCACCAGCAAACTTGTTCCTGGTGATGAAGAAAACAAGTAAGGCTTCATTAGAGATCAGGCATTTTTAAAGCAAAAACATTTTTACTTTTGTATTAGGTAAATAATGATTTGGTTTCTTTTTGACGTGTCCTCATTGCAAAAAGTGTACAGTAAACATGGTGCACATGGTGACCACAGATTAAACAGGATTCTTATGCAGGTGTCTTTTAAAATCTATCATTCAATGTGATATATTTTCCAAATACTGAACATCGTATGTGAACAGGAAGAGCTTCTATTTCCTTTTCTACACTTTATTTTGACTAAATGTTATGTAGGTTAAGCTCATAAAGAATTTGCCAAATCTTCTTATGCTATTGACTCTTGTTTAAAGCAACCCCTGGAAATCCCAAACCTTCACCAAACTCTATCCTCCAAGMTGACAACACTCTCCCCACAGAGAGAGGTTTATCAGAAACTACACCCAAAATATGGGAGTAGAAAGGAAAGACTARCAGTGAATCCCAGTGGGATCAGATTTGTCGTGCTGTATGTTTGARATCGACAATCATATGTTGGCTGATTTTTGACAAAAGCTGTTTTAAAGAATTGGATGACATCCAACAGTAATAATCAAGCTGGTGAGCTGTGTTAGTAGGATGTGCCAGGATGTTGTGGCTGTCTCAATTCAGGGGCTGCATCCTCCTGAGTGTGAATTAGTGGTCCACCTACGTCACTGCCCTACACCGAAGGCTGTCCCAATTCATGGGCTCCTTCTCATGCAGCAGATGGACTTAGATGGATAGACAGACTGCTGGAGCACAAACTGAGCACATTTCCTCACTCTGCTGTTGTCTTTAGTCTCTCTTCTCTACATGTTTATTGT